TAATATTTACTAAAAACTGTGTAAGTACGATAGTTATAAACAATCATTAAAAATTAATTCGATTTTTAAAATATGAAATATATATTTATATTTTATACTTTGTTTCAACATGCTAATGTATTTTAAACAGAAAAATATTGATTAGGTATCGTTTTAATAATAAGGGACGACAAAAAAGTATTCACAAAATAACAGGTATTTTGAAATTGCGAAAAATGACGAGATACGGATGAAGGGAAGAGCCAAAAGAAGGATCTATCTGGGGAACACAGGCTTCCACGCTTTATCTCCTTCTTATAAATGAAACACGTTATTTATTATCCAATAAAAAGACACTCCTGGCACGCGGCACCCCAACGAGTACTTTACAGGGTAGCATCGGGTGACGTATAAATATCGAGGTTTCTATGTGGTTCTCTCTCTTGAGACTAGCCTGAACCGGCTTGGTTTCGGTTCATCTTTCACTCTTGGTTTCAACAAACCTGCAGAACCAGTTTTTTCTGAAGTATGTATCTTAAAATGGATGAAAAATGAATTTTTTTTTTTCCTTTTGTCGATTTATCGAACAAAGTGAAAATGAAATTACTATAAAGTATACGAAGATTAAATCCACTTTTCAAAGTAACAAGATCAAACTTTGTAAGATCTCTAATATTATTTTTCAACGGATAGTAGCAGCCGTACTTATATCTTTATATATATATAAGGAAAAGGTAGCAGTTAACTACAGGCGTTATTATTACTTCTTTTGCGAGTGGTAGAAGTGGGAAAGAAATCTGCCGGACTTCGCGGTCAAATTGTTGAAAATTCCATATCTGGAACATTCGATATGTAGCTTTAATTAAAAGTTGGTTCACCTTTGCGCGTTCAAAATAGTCTATTGATATTTTGCCGAGGGGCGAGTTTAAAAATGTTTTAACTTTTCGGTAATGACCCGAAGAAAATAACACCACAACGATTACAAATTATAAGCTAATAAGAATTTAGAAAAGCGACAAATGACAATAGTTAAACAATAGCTCAGTTTATAATCAGCTAAATAAAAACATATGAAAAATGCTAGCTTTTCAAAGTGTGATTTTTTTTCAGAAACACCGAGCAAATAATTCACGTATTCTCTACCCTAGGCTAACTCTCTTCACTTCTCTTCCCTTTCTTTCTCTCCCTTCCTTTTTCACAAGTAGTACAACTTTATGGTACAAGCTAGGAGTACATTTCGAAAGACCTCAACCTCCTCGACTTTCGACCAAGCGTTTCCATCGTGAAACGTTCACTCTTACTCCTAACCATCTTTTCTTCCCTTATTCACTTCTTTTGACTTTCTCTTTCTCATACACATGACTCCACCACCCCCTTCCCTCCCTCTTCGTTTCCCTCCCTTCATCGTTCCTTACACCCACACATACAAACATATTTGCACGCTCGCTCACCTATTCTCTTCTTCTTACTATCCGAAAACTTTTAACTGAGTTTCGAGACCTGCAGCCGATAGATTTTTCTCCTAACTCGATCTAGAGTTTGGTCTCTCGCAAGCGTGAGACGCATCGCGTAGTTCTATTCGACCCTTCTCTCCTTTCTTTTTTTCTACTTTCATTTCTTTTTCTTTTTTTTTTTGAGCGTTCTTCTTCTCAAGGGAGATGTCTGTCAAGGCTTTCGGCTTGCTATCACTTTCGAGGGACTTTTGATAACGTTTGTTATATCAGAGAAAGAGAGAGAATGTAGATATAGGATACGTACGTGAACGTAATTTTGAAATCCGTGAACTTTTTGAAAAGGGACGACGAAGAAGATATTTAACAAACAATCCCTTCAAGGAGTACAAATGTTGACCTGTTTTTTTTTTTATATCGTTTTTCATTTCCATCTTTCATTCGATACGAAAGATCTTCTTCTTCAACTTATATAAAACTTACTTACCAATAGAATTTATTTTCTAAATTAGATTACTTTATAAATTGTCACGTTCTAATGAGCTTATTTTTTGTCATCTATTATTATATCTAATAACAATGACAAAAAAAGAAAGACTTTTTCGAGCTTATATTTTAAATAATTGTCCTGATCTATACACACATTTATCATATTTTTCTATCTTGTTTAATTTTTTTGTTTGATACTTCCACTATTCGCACGTGTTTAAACGTTTTAAACGAATGTGACTTATCCTCGTCAAAAGAATTGCATTCTTTGCAGAGAACCCTTCTTTCAAGAAACGCTAGCTCGAGAGAAAACGAACGAATGAGAAATCGTTCGAGGAGTTTCAGGACAAAAGGAGTTGAATGCTGTCACGACGCAAAGAGTATTTGCTTTTTAAGACACCGTAAGGGTTCTCGAGGAATTCGATAAGCTTCCCCCCTCACCATACTCGATCCCAAGCATCTCTCACGCATTGCGATTTTTCTGTTACGACTTTGGAATTTTGCAGCTCTACGGAATGTAATCTGTAGTTACAGGAGCTTTAGAAAAATACTTTGATCTTGGTTATAACAACGAACGAAGCTTCCCTCTTTTACAATATTAAAGTATTAAATATCAGCTCACAAAATTAGTAAATATTTCCTATAATATATTATTATTAATTATCTCTATTATATTTATAGATATATTTTAAATCGTAAAATATTCTTATTTTCAAATAAAAAAAAATATCAAAGCTATTATTTTAATATATAATACCGAAATACATCGATTCTCATTTTTGATAACAAAGCAATCATTCATATCATCGATCATGATTCTAACGGGTTTTGATTTGCATCGAAAAAATATGCCGATACATTGAAATCGTAGTATACATCATAACGAAGAATTACATATTCATACGTATCGTACATAGTACCCGTGTAAACTCGCGCTTGCAATCAAGCGAACTCTGCGAGTGCGAATCGTTGTAACGTAAATACAAAGCATTCGTTATACATAATTAATGAATGCGCATCATCACCACTATCGTTTCGCGAAAACGATATCTGACGATTTTCATCGATGAATAAGAGAGAAAGACAGACAGACAGACAGACAGACAGATAGACAAACAGATATACAAAGAGAGAGTCAGAGAGATGGATAAAAGATTAACATTGATCAACGTTTAACAAAGGGCATTCGCGGCAATTTGTCATTCTACAAAATTTTCACATATTTTATCATCTATCAACGAGGCAGATATTCAACGTTCGCATAGCCAATAACTTCTCGCGCTTGCAATAATGTCAATTTGTCCCTCGTGGCAATACGTCATGAACGAAATAGGATCGGCTCTTTCACGTTTTGGTGATATGAACGGCGTAGCCGCGCACACGATGTTATCCACAAAAATATATTTTAACAAAAATGAAATGAAAAGAGCTGATAGATAAAGTCGACGCCTCTTTTTTACCATCGTTGATTCTTCGCTCTTTAATGGAAAATTCATTATCGCAGTTAAGCCGATAACAACATATGGTTTTGTAAAAACGTAATTTATCCGGAATGTTTTGAAGTGTTCTCAGTTTATTATTCTCATTAGATTACTCTATTCTAACATTACGTTCAATAAAAAAACACCAATAATCGTTCATTATTTTGATATCGGCAATAATATAATGAATGATCATTTCATACTTTTATCTTTTATTTATCTTCTTGTGTTAGAATATTTTTGTACGAGTAGATTTGGTGTATCATCTTTAGTTTAACACGATGTTAGATTATTATAAAGCTTTTACTGTCTTTATAAATTATTATTTGTATTTATAAGATAAATGTGTGATATATTTCTCTATTTTCTATTTTATTTTTTTATTTTTGCATTTTACCAATTCTCAAATTACCCGCATAGTTATCCCAAACTTATTTTTATTCGTATATTTGTATTAAATAAAAAGAACAATGATAATCTGTAAGCTTATTTTTGTATATCCAATTATTCAATGTATATTGTTTTATTATCGATCCCGCTCATCTCGCCATTCACAATCCTCGTTCAATTGAAACACCATAGTGAACATCAGACAGCTTGTCACAAATAGACGGACGTTGTTCTATCGAGGATAGTTTTGCTATCTGCTATCGCTTCCTAGTATTAACAAAGGACGATTGGATTTCGATCGTCATGATAAGAAAATCCTGTATTCACGGATTACACGAATTGGCAAGCGTGTCTATCACCAAATTCTACTGTTTTAGAAACGTGAACGAATCTACTATCCTTTTTATAAATATATCGAATGATCGTTGAAAGCTCTATCGGGCACACGTTTAACGAGATCAACAAAAACGATTACGGCGCTCATTGCCAAAAATACAATTTCAGTTGAGCTACGAAAATAATCGTATATGTAATAATAAATTTGACAATGATTATATTTAAGCATACGATTTATTCGTAAAAACATATTTATCGAAAGATGAACGAATTATACTCCTTTGTCGAATCATAAAATTCAAGAGGTTTAATTTATAAAATCAAAGGGATCTGAGGTTCCTAGTTAAAACCAACTTCTTGCATTAATCATTGATATAGTAAAATATATTTTATTACTATTGTCCAATAATTGTCTCATAAAAGTAGTTCAATTGTTTGTTTAGCACCGCGGTTTACTGGTCTACTGTAATACGATTAGTAATCGGATTACAAGCTAGCTCGTTCGTGTTACTACAGTCATTACGAGCTGACGCTATTGCAATGGCGGCCATTTTAGTCTCGTTGTCGCACATTTTGGCATTCGAGAGAGTGGCTAATATTTGCATGTAATTAAGTTTACAATCGAAACTTTCCTAACAAGGGCAGTTTCAAAGTTCCAAGAGAACGAAGCGAACGAGAGGTTCATAGCTTTTAGTATCCAATTCTTCCTTCATACTTATTTTCTCGTTATCAAATTTCTCATTTTCATTCGAAATTTTATCTCTTGTTTTGTTTTCCCCCTTTAATTGAAATTATTATTCAAAAAAAAGATGTATATTAATATAATAAATGATTTGATCAAAAAATAAAAGATTTGAATTTCTTATGTTTGCAGGTTATGGCCAACTTATGCGAGCGCTCACAATAATCTTGGAACGTTGACGGTAGGCGATCAAGCAGAGCAACACTTTTTGGCTGCAATTCACGCCCAGCCTGGTCACGTCAATGCACACTACAATTTAGGACAATTGTACAGGTCAGTGATGGGTAAATAAAATGTTTCCCTCTTTCTATCTCTCTCTCTCTCTCTCTCTTGGACATTTTTTTATAGCTCTTATGTTTTCCGACATTTCAATTTCAAATATTTTCCGTAAAAGGGAAATAAATCATATAAAATCGTATAAAATATAATTTTATTCTTGATTGCGTTGATAATCTCAAATATAATACGTTAATCAACAAGATACAAAATGTTTCTAGGAGGCAAACCGTAACGAACTGTTCATTAAGGAATATATAGTACGTATTTTTAACGGTAAATTTGCACAAGGCGATAACTCCAAAGCTACGGCCAAAATTAAAGTTTAATTAACGCTCTCTGCTAGATAAATTAAAGTTTAATTAATGGTGCTAAGAGAAAACCCCCGCGAGTGTAAATCAGTGGCCCCCATGCATTGCATAATTATATTCTAGTATCGTATGCCGTGGAAAAATATTTTATACGGGATGATATCGCTCTTCGCCTATATCGCGTTATTCTTTTCTTTCTTATTTTTTCCATTATTTTATTATTTTTTTTTTTAATTTTTTCTATCTCTTTCATTAGGTTTTTTTACAAAAAAGATTTTCATGAAGGAACTCGTAACGCGAGATTTCCTTACCGTACCGTTGTGTATTTTTTCGTAACTCAATTTAACTCGCGCATGTCATGAAAATTGAAAATAAAACCACCAATTTTTCACAAAAATGTTCATTGTCATGAAATTCGTTCAACATATCGTTTTTATGCATCAATATATACACGCAAACGTGAAAAAGTATTAATATGCAGATTCTTTCACCGATATATGATGATCTCGTTTTTTATATTAACTCATTTATAATCTACGTAAGCGTTTGTTCCAAAACAAAGTTTATCAATTTTTATACTCTTCGACGATTCATCGATTTTACCCTTTCTCTACATTGACACGCTCGTGTAGTTAATGTAAACGAAAAAAAAAAAAAAAAGAAACAGGAAAAAATGCAATTATCGATTGTCACTCCTGCTGTTGTCATTCACGACCATTACGAAGCTTTTTACGAAGCGTCAAGTCAATTACTGCGAGGCGCGCGACTATAATTCGTTCGAACGTACATTGCGAAATTACCAGCAATCTATACTAAAACACATAAAGCTTACAAGCCCAATCAATCCATTGACCGTTTTAATGCTTACCATCCTCTTTTAATCGGTCTATCTCGGAATTCACGATTATCATTGCAATCTCATTTTCTTAGAAGTTTCATTTAATCTTACGATTATTTCTTAGAAACTAAACGATCAACTAAATCTCTTTAATTGTTATACAACTTACAATTATAATTGCTTTTATACTTATGTTTATAAGTATGACCTATTAAAACAACTCCATTAGCTAATATGCAACCGAACGAACACGATTTCAAATAATTATTAATAACAATGCTAACTTTAAGAACATCATTTATAGCAATAATATTTACATAATATCAGTATATCAAATAGAAATGATTTCCATCATGGGACCATTTAAAATGTTATGAATAGGAAGACGAACAGGACGGAGGAGTGCATCAAGATGTTGCAGAAGTGCGTGTCACTAGATCCAGCATATATTCCAGCATATTTGGTCCTCGCGAGATTAGCAAGTGGTCCCGCAACGGGAGTCCTTCTAAGGCACGTCGTTCGTTTGCAACCACGAAGTCCGGATCATCTCGCGGAATATGCTACATGGTTATACCAAAATGGTGAGTAACTTGTCTTGCACATGACCGAGCGAGTGATGAAAACTAATAATGAGGATAAGAGAGATATAGGAATAGAAATAGAAAGATAAAGATAAAGAGAGAGAGTGGGAGAGAGGTGAGAAAGGATGTGCAAGAGTCTTTATGTTACCGTCCCATGAGTCAAAAGTTCAGCGCGTAAGTGACTCGACAATATTACAAGCTCAACGTTAGTAGTTTAAGAGTGTAGTAATAGTAGAAGCATTGAGAACCAACCCAACAGTGAGTTTTCCCGACGAGTATAGTATGGCACGAAACTCCATGGCAAATCGCCTCTTCGCGTCTCTTTTCCAGGAAAATGGCTGCCCTCGTTGAAGTACTATCTCAAGGGCATGGAGGTTTCGCCGTCGCATAGATCGTCGCTTGTAGGTACAGCAAGGATTCTCAGGTCAAGAGGTCAATGGCCGAGAGTGCATCAACTCATAACCAGGTGAGTTGTACTTCTTTTTTGTTTTTTCTTTTTTCCTATTTCGTAGCTACGTTTACAAGTACGGTATTCGTTCATTCGGCTACGCTCCTAATATCAGTCGCTTGTCGAAAAAGTTAAAGAAAAAAAAAAAAAAAGAGAGGGATAGGCGAACGAAGCGATAAAGAATAGGATTAATAGCCGTGCGATAAATTCGGATTTTCTGGGTTGACTGAAAGTTGTTGGTGGACAATTTTGATTTTGACCCGAAATAAATGGTCTTAATAAATGAAATAAATAAATTATGAGCTATAATAATATCGCTTCAATTTAATTTAATACGAATATATTTTAGATCGTTCCTTTCTCAAATATTATGTATGAAATAGTATAAAAAGGTATGGACAAAAATTCGGAAGAGAGATTTATGATTTGTTTTTTAGTAATTGATATTTGATATAATGAATTCGTTTAAATAGATGACGTTAGAGGAAAAAGAAAAATTCCGATGAAATTATAATCCCAGTCTTTCAGATCCAACATAACGGTGATGCATTTTTCACAGAGGACTAAACGTAAACTTTCCGGGGATGCATTTCCATGCGACTTTCGTCGTCCAACGCACTTAACTCGAGCGTTTGCTGGCAGACTGGAATGGCTTTCCAGTGTTTTTTCTCGATCTCGCGAATACGGTTTCAATTCTCTCTCTCTCTCTCTCTCTCTCTTTCCCGCACTCGTACGTAGTCTCGCACTGTAATCCTTTCCCCTTTTGTAGTAGCCCAGCGTTCAGCAAATAGCGTCTATAAAATGCGGACGGTGAATTTGTCGGCGACAATTCGCGTTGTTTTTGCAGCCGGTGCTTTCTCGTTCGATGTCACGTCCTAGTGCGTACGAAAATTTCGTGAGAAAGATTGCTCGTGAACGTAAGACAAGTAAAATGCATAACCAAAACTGCTCGTGGAATAGTACAGAAATATTTGGACAATGTTTTAGTGATATTTGTGATACCAGTGATAATAAGAAGAGACTAGATGAATATTTTAATATCTGTCGTTTTCGTATTTCCAATATAAATGTGAATCACACTAGAACGCATCTCTTAGCTTAACATTCGTGGAAAATAACTTCGATCTTTGTAAACGTAAAAGATACGAAGAGAGCCCAGCCCATTGAATGGGCCAATTTTTTTTCCGAGATTTTATTTTTTCTATATTATCTATTATCCTAAAACGACGACGTTAAGCGATCATAAAATATATTTCACATGTATATACATATATTGATATACATAAGTAGGTTCGTATACAATGGCTGAATGTAAATATTTCAAATCTCCCTACATATTTCCAAACGTTTCATTATGGTATTCCCATACTATTTCTCCAGTCCGAATCCGTGAATTATTCATCGTACGAATTGTTCCGTTAAAGAAAAATATAAAACTCACTGAGGAACGAACGTTTAGCTCGTAACTCACTATTCTCCGAAATACAAATCATATTCCAACGTAACGCCATAGTAAATTATATTCGTAGGCGATATGACGCGTTCTACGATCGATAGGGTGCGTGCCTATGCTCGCGTTTACGCGCGCGCACGCCTGCATGCGACAAGGAAATGACACAATAATCATAATCTCGTTATTACATCTATCTATCCTTTTCTTGTCCCGCAATGTACGTTTTAATAATCTCAAAAAAAAAAAAAAAAAACAAAGTGATCCAATCACTGTAACTCCAGTAACGTTCCTTTTCCTTTCTTTTCTTTTTTTCCTTTTCTTTTTTTTTTTTTTTTTTTTTANTTTTTTTCCTTTTTTTTTTTTTTTTTTTTTTTTTACAAATCTTTTATCCCGCATGACCATTTTTCTTGATTAATTGGTAAAATATCGAAAATCGATCTCATAGACGTTTTTTTTGTTCTCTTCTACAAAGGATTGAGAGGATTCGAACCAAGCCATTTATTTTGGACTAATATTAAAGATGAATCATTCGACTGGTACACTTCAAATGAAATCTTGTTTTTGGTACAGATTTTTTTTCACATTTACATATTGTATATTCAACGATGATTCTATTATTGTCCTTTTCAACGTCAAATAACGTCTCGAATAATTTCGTAAATCTAATTTTAAGGAGTTATACCTAGTTAGAAATTTCAAAAACATTGATTTCTTTTTTGTATTTTCGTAATGTATTAATTGATTGTTTCCGTTGTTATTCGACATAAAATATTGGATTTTTTCACATGGATTATAACTATTTGTTACAAGCAACGTTTACATTTGTTTCAATGAAAATGAGAGAATTCATAACCCGATAATATCTCTCCTATATATTCCGTTATTTCTTATCAAATTTAAATAAGAAATTTGTTTATGACTTTTATTCTCGATTACATTTAATCAATAAAAACTAGAGAAGATAGCTCTATTAATTATTATTTGAATTTATAATAATATCATAATATATATATATATCAAGCTTTGTTTCAGGATTGTATCAGTGTTTTTTCAGGTTTGCGCCAGAGTTATTTTTCAGGCTTTTGTTAGTTTTTTCGAAACGTTGCGTCAAGGTTTTTGGATGGGTTTTGTCAGGGTTTTTTTTATTTACCCTCTGGGCATTTTGCAGATTGACCGGGCAATCTATACATTGTTCTACTGGTAACGTATATAATTCCAGTATTACTACTTGGATCGTAACATATATGTATATATAACATACCATAAGGTAATTGATAAATTCCAATACATGCGCGGAACGATATTATAGTTAAAAGCAATGATATAAAAATGGTTAGGTAAGCTGACCGACAAAAAATTGATCTCTGGAATTTAGAATAATTATAAGAAAAACTCGTTTTTTGGGTCCCTTATTCATAAAAGCAATAAACCACAGTGACCTTTCCCACGACCTCAATTATTTCTATTGCATTATTTAAGTATTAAAAAAAAAAAGAATGCAAAACAGAAAAAAAGAGAGGAAAAATTGATAAAGCTTTTTGGTTCATATAGCGAATATCGTAAAATCTGTGTTGGTCAGATATTAAGTACGTTATTGCGTTATCACAATGGTCCGGAAGTAATACGTTCATACGTTATTTCCTCTCTCACCTTTCAAAGAGATTACGATAGACAGTAGCAACTGATTGATGAAGGTTGAAAACTTGCTGACTTTTTGAATGTTATACCTAAATCGTTTATTTTATATGTTTATATGAGTATGCAGTTGTAAAACAATTCGTTTCCACATACGTTTAATTGTCATTTTTTCTTTTCCTCTCTCTTTCTATCTCTTTCTTTCTCTGCTTCTAACATTTTTATAATTTTTCCATCAATTTAATGAAGCGTTTAATTGATCTACGCTTTATTAAACGTAAAAATATAAATAATTTACAAATGAGCAGTTCATATGTCAAATTGATTAATTCCACTTTCTGAATTTTTTAAAAATTTTCTCATTAAAGCACTTCATTAGTACTGAAAATTTGTTGTATTTCAAATCAATTTCATTTAATAATTAATATAATCGACCACAATAATAATAAATGATACGACAATGTATAATAATTTGATCAATTTTATCTACTTTATATTTTATAAAGTTAATCGATTTTTTTTTCTGGCAAATAAGTGACTCAAATATGGTAGGGAAAAAAAAGGTTCGTCAATAATTTGACTCATATTCAAAGATTCAGCCTTGTCGATTCTATTGTTGAATTTACTCTCCTTTCATGTTTAATTCTGTTTTATTTTTATCCAGTTTGATCGTGTACGGTGACAAGAGTAAAAAATAGAATAGGTACTTTGTTGAAATGAATTTTCAGTGAAATTATTTTTCAAACTCTTGCTTCCTATTTACAGATTACAAATACAGGTAGAGAAACAGGGAGAAAAAGAGACACGCAAGGATGAATACCAACATTCACGTAAATCGCGGCCCTCGAAATTTTACCATATTCGATAGGGAGAGAGGAGGAGAAGCGTCAATCGAGAAGTAGCAAATATTCGCAAGTTAGCTTGCTTTCGTTCTATTCATTTCATTTTGTATTCAACCGACATAAATCCAAAAAAAAAAAGAAGGAAAAAAATGAAAAAAAGAAAAAAGATCTACCATCCGTAAAATAATGTCACGATACGGCGATAACGTCGTCGTTGTTGTTGTATTAAGCGCTCGGCACGGCGATAAATCGAAAATTTACCGCTGCCCGCCGAATGCGCGTATCTGTTTTCAACAACAGGACACTATCGCGTTCGAGTTCGAGTTCGAGTTCGCTTCGGCGAAGCTCCCACAAACTTCGAGGCTATTTTTAAAACTCTCTGTAGCAGGAACTGAACAGAACAGAACAGCTAGTCGTCACGTGGAAAAATGTCAACGATAGTCTTTGCACAGCTATTATTAGAGAGGGAGAATCGTTCCAGATCAATGATATCGATTGTGATAGCTATCGATAACGATATCGATCCTCGCATCGATAGATTCGAGAGTGTTTTGGGAGCAGGTGATATCTCCGGCGGGAAATACAAAAAGGACCGTATCCTAGCTAGCTAGCTAGCTAGCTAGCTAGCCATACTTTTAAATCAAGTTCGTCGGTATCGTTTTCACGCGTTCGATGCGATATTACGCTGGGAGGCGTTCCCACTTTAATCTACCTCTCTTTCTCTCTCCCGTTTATATCGGCCGAAGAGTACCCTTTATCTTCCAACGTAAATGGCGATTTTATAATTCATGGAGCACCGTGTTTCATCCGGTCTATCGGTGAGCCACCAAATGGCCGATATCACTGGTTGAAGCTACGCGTGTTACCACTTCGTTGTAACCACCCTCGTCGCGGCTACCCTGGACTTTATTTTCACTATGGAATTCATCGCACGTTTGTTCGCTTGCTCGAGAATTCGCTTCGTTAATGAACGTGAAAATGCGATCATACCTTAGATCTTTATCGTCCTGTCATTGGTTACGTTTTAATAGGATCATTCAATCAAATTATTTTATCTATCTCTTTTGTGATTTAACATTGCTTATATAAGCTATCGTCATTAATTATTATTATTTTTTTTTTCAACATTTATCTTTATTATCATTATATTATTGTTATATCGATTAATTGTAGCTCCAAAAAGTCTGACAGAATTTTCATTTATCGGATTTTTCTTTAAACTCATTTAACTAGCAGGGTAATAATAAAATCGAGATTACAAACGTGACATAGCAAATAAAAAGGTATATATGTGACATAATCGAATGGTTGATTGAACCATTGAAGTCGTGCCATTTTCATTGTGGCGAGGTGATCTTAAAATAACTAGCGTAAATTAACTGAAATGGCTTTGATAACGATCTAAATTAATCTTATTCGCGTATTACTTTCATTGCAATGAATCATTCGAACGATATGAAAACGCATTTATGGTGCTTACATGCAATAGTATAAATAAAACTTATGAAAATGACGTACAAAAGATACGGGAAAAACTAAACGGTTTTTGATGAAAATTGAATGCTCCGAAGTGAAGATGGTTGTGAATGGAAAGAACTAAAGTCTGCGCACGTAGATGCACGTCGATTTTACCGCGAATAAAAAACAAATGAGAGAAAGAGAGAGAGAGGAAAGGAAAAGAAAATGATATACGTTCTTTTTGTTAAATATAAAACTCTAACTTGCTTAGAAATCAACATCTAAATTTACTAGAAAATATCACTTTGACATTAACATTATTGCAAAATCAAAATTATAAATATTAATATATAGTACAGAGTTACACACTTTCTATATTTAATATATAATGATAAACACAAAGAGTATTATACATCGATTAACGTAAACAATTACATATATTTAAATCTATTCATATCACATATGTATAATATATAAGATAATATTTAATTTCAATTCAAAGCTAATCATGAAAATTATTGATCAATGAATTATCAACGGTGGTGGTATAATTCATAAATGACTAAAGTTAGCTTTTAATCGAGCGTTTAATCGCTCTTTCATCTTCTCCTTCAAAACAAACTAATCGAATATGATGCTTTCCACGTCAAACCAGTTACTGTGTGACATTATTACGTTATTATTTGTAGATAATAAAGGTAATATAATCGATAATCATTGGACGAATTCTCTACTGAAAGTTTAACCTCCGAAAAGCATGTAGGTGGGAAGTGTTATGAAGAGAAACAGAGAGGAAAGAGAGAGACAGAGAGAGAGAGAGGGGTATGATTGGACCAAGAATTAATGAACTATGAATTCTTCTTTCGGTGAATGATCACGCTAAGAGGAGGGTAGGAAAATCGATCGATCGATATAAAGAATGAACAAAGGAAAGATGATAAGCATCATTGGAAAGTCACGGGTCAAACATATCGAAGGGGTGAAGAATCGTGCGGCTTTACCTTCTCGGCAATTCCTACGACGAGCGTCGACCTCACCAGATGCAAACATCCTATTCACCCCTTTCTCCGTCTCGTAAATATGATACTCTTATGTGCGCATGTGCGAGGAGATAAAGAGACAACCTATGATAGGGATCAGTGAATAAACTTCCATATGAAGTAACGCGTAAAAAGGGTAAATATGTATGTTGCTTAGGATTTTGTTTCATAAGAACTCACTTGAATGGATAGTCAGCAATGAACTCACTCTAGTTTGGACAGAAGGGAATTTTCTCTCCCTTTTTCTTTTTTTTCTGTTTTTTTTTTTTTTAGGATTAAAGATATTATAGGGGAAAAAATGACTAGGCTCTTTTAATAGGCTAATGGACATAGATCCTTTATCCCTTTTCTTCTTAACGTCGTATATATTGTTTCGTTGTTTCTTCTAAAAACAATGAAATATTTTCGTATAACGGATGTAATAAATTTTTGTAAACAATCACGAGAATGATATGTGAATTATTTATTTTGAATTGATACACTTGGTCATCGTCTAATCGATAAATATCATTGTGTTTTTCAGATGGCACTTGATGTTACGAGCCAAAAGGGGTGGCTTGATATATCGCGGTGATCTTTATATTCGCGCGTGGCAACTTCAGAGCGAATCACGTCAAAGAGCTCATCAACACCAAAGAAATCTTTGCCTATCGGTTAGTTCAATTTAACCATTATAACTCTGAGTTTATTATTATTATTTTTATAAAGGAAATTGGAGAATATCACTAGACGGATTTTCGTATGACTTATTATGAATAATATAAAACAGGAAATAAGAGATACATATAGATTGAATATAATGAACGTAGAAAGAGAGGGAGGGAGAAAGAAAGAGAGAGAGAGAGATAATATGAAAGAAAGGAAAGAGAGTTTTCCCTCAAAAGGTAGATGAATTGCGTGCGATTAAATGCGTATGGGAGCTCAAAAAGCACGGCGAATAATAAATTTTAATAATGTATCGATAACGACAGCCACGATAGAGTAACAAGCACGAAGATCGTGCCAATGCGAATTGAGGAACGGACAAAAGCAGGCCAGGGGATTTTATGAGCATAATAAATATGCAGACAAATAGTACAACAGATAACCACTTTACGATGCGACATTCGATAAACTTTAGTCGTTGCTTTTTCTATTTTCCCAATCCATTTATACAGATTTATATTGTCACTTTGAAATCTTTTATTCGAATGTTCCAAGTAAACAAATTGAATTATTAACCATTATCGAATAAATTTCAAACTGTACATTGTCGTTCTGGTTCTTCTCATTTTTTATGCTTTCCATATTCGAATAGAATTTTATTAAATAATTAGTAAAAGTACATTCAATAATGATACTTTTATGAAGTCAATGTTATTTAATAAAATAACATTTTCCTAAATACGTAATATAGTATAACCACACAGAACACAATATCGTAATATAGTTATATTGAAATTTAGCAAGTTTTTTTTTCGTAAAAAGTCTCTTACCACCATCAATCATTTATCTCCTACGAAAGACTACCAAAGTGCGATTAATTTGAGAGAATCTCTCTTCTACTCGTAAGCTTTGGTATGCATGTATCGATGTAGTGGTATCTTTGGCCCTTTTCCACAGCATGTTTCCCCTTTAAAAGATTAATTAAACTTCTCAGGTCACGTAGTATCGCTATAATTTCGATCGAATGAATTCACCTTTCTATCGAGTCGTTTGCTCTCTCTCTCTCTCTCTCACTCTCTTTCTCTCTCATTCCCCTCTGCCTCTCTTTTTTCTCTTCTCTATTCGCCTTTCGCTAGTTTCCTTCTCACAAGGCGAAGAAAAAACCCAAGCACGATTCGTTCCAGTCATTAAAGATTCAACTCGTAAAAACTTACGCAATTCAGATAGTCGCATTTCTTTCTTCCTTCCTTCCTTCCTTCCTTCCTCCTTTTCTTATATTTCCTTTTACAAGTTCTATTTTCTGTCTTTTTCATTATTTCTTTTTCGTCTTGGACTAACAATAATAAGTCAGACCTAATAATTATTGCAAATTCGTTCGACTTAACGTCAAATACGAATTCGGAAAATATGTCGTCAGAAATCAAAATGATAACCAAAAAGAGAACATTCTATCTTTCACGTTTCTTATAATCGCATTAAAATCTTACATTTATTATATCTATGTGGGGGAGAGGGGGGGGGGTAGGATTTTGTAAGCATGCACCGATGAAAATCTATTATTTGCAATAATTCGACAGAATTAGATTAGACATTCGAATAGAAAAATCTTAAGAAGAACGTTCGTATACATATTTCAAATATTTTTTATTTTATTATTCGATTTTGTCAAAGTTCATAGATAAAATTTACGATCAAGAGGATCGATCGATGATGACATTTTATTGAAATAAAACAATTGATTGTTTTAGGAGGAGAATTGTTCAACGCCCCGGGTCGCGAGCGTGTCGATGCAATTGGAACAAGACAGCAACAAGTCCGAACAATTGGAAAGGGCACCTCGTTGCACCGTACGGACCTGTCGACAAACAAGGAAGGGAAAGGCTCGTGTGACCGCACCAGCACTTTTGGTTCAAAATCTTCTCGAGACACTTTAGTCGCGGTTTTTAACGTCGAACGAATGTCTTACGATTGAACGTGATGCTTATACGAGACTAAGAATAAAAAGAAACGAAAAGAAATGGGAAAAAAAAAAGAAGAAAAAGGTAAAGGAAAAGAAGAGAAGAACCTTTTGCGCGAGTGTTTATCCGCTCTCGATGAACGTTCGCGACTTGCGAATTCGTGAGTGGTATTAAAACTGTTTTATAGTTGTACGTTAAGAAGAAAGAAAATAAGCAAAAGAAAAGAAATAAAAAAAAAAAGAAAAGAAAAGAAAAGAATTGCAGCAAAGAAAACGCGTTTTCAACGTCTCTTATCGTTTTTACGTCTTCTACGTGTTTTATCTGTGGTGTTTTTTATCTGTCGATCAAGAGAGAACGCTGGCCCAGACTTCTACGAATGGAACTTTGTGTGCTTGAACGAAAGGATGAGAGATAAAAAGAGTAAGAAATAAAATAGGAAGAGAAAAAGAGATAACGCGTGAAAAAGAATTAAAGAAAAAGATAGAGATAGAGAGATAGAGAGAGAGAGAGAGAGAGAGAGAGACAGAAAGAGAGACAGAAAGGGAAGTTTTTATTTTGGTTATAATTATTCAAAAACTACGTTGGCACGAATGTGTAACGAGATACGAAATTGGAAAATAAAATTTTATCATAGGAATCAAGTTGCCAGAAAGAAAATTGATCCTTTCGCGTCTCCGACGAAGATACATGAGTCTGTGAAAAAAAATGAGTTTTATAATAATTATTATTTATTATTGTTTACCACACATATATTAATGATTTGGTTGTAGGTACAAATTATACCACGTTTCATATGAATTTTTTTATATAAAAAAAATCTTCGATCAATTATTTTTTATGAAAAAAAAACAAATTATACTTCGGATAATGAAATGGAGGAAGAGAAAAAAGAAAAGAAAAAAAAAAAAAAAGAGAGAGAGAAAAAGGGAAAAGTAAAGAAATAGTAATTAAAACGAACTAGATTATTTGATTTCTTTTCCCAAGAAAATCTTATCATTTCAATGAGGACAGAAGGCACTTACTCGCTCTTTCCTAAAACGAAACTCATTTCTACGAACAATAAAGTAGATCTCCCTCGACGAGGAACGCGAAAAAGGATCCGCCGTGAGATATCACGTAATTATAAATATCATTATCACTTTTTTCTTCTTCTACCTCTCGGTTTTTTTTTTTTTACTTCTTTTCTATTTGTTCTCATTTCCTTTTTTTTTCACGAAGAAGAACTCGAAAAGTATCGGTAGCGGAGATTTATTTTTCACACGAAAAAGTAACACGATGCGAGATGCTTACAAGTCACGCGAGAACTAACATGTTTTTCTATATTTTTCTCTCCACCCCTCTTTCTCTCTTATTTTCTTTCTTTCTCATTCGCTTTCTATATTTTTATGTTCCTTTTTCTTTTTTTTCGTTGATCTGATCGTTCCTTTCTTTCTCTTTCGCTCTCTCTCTCTCTCTCTCTCTCTCTCTCTTTCTCATTCTCTCTCTCTCTCTCTTAACTCTCTCATTTTTTCTTCACAAACACAAACAAACAAAAATTATAACTTTGTGCACGTATACTATACATACACGGTGCCAATCTTAGGGTATAAGGAATGGTATCACTGATTCAGGGCGTTTCGTACAGCTTTTGTATGAAAACTAGATGAAAGACTTAATACAAAAAAAATTAATAAATAATTAAAAAAAGGATTGAAAAAGAAGAAGAAGAAGGATAAATGAAACGAAAATACGAAAAAAAAAAAAAAAAACAATATATCGTTTGAGCTTTACACGAAGGCGTTTCACTCCAAACATCTCGTAAAAAAAATAATACTAACGCTTGTATATATATTTACATATGATATACCGCAGAGGCTTTGTAAGTTTTCTCATTTCGTTTTGTTTTTTTGAGTCGAAATATACATTTATACATGAACGATATTTATTCTTTACCTCATTTAATCGTTATCATTATATACGTTTGGTTCGTGATAAACAATTCGTATTTTTCATTACTTCAGAATAAAATTATTTGCTGAAAGTATTCCAATTTTCTTCTACAATTTTTATATTACGATCTCAAAAAAAAAGAAGATAATTTCGTTCCTTTCAAAACACGTTCGTGTTACATTCGGTTTTTTTGAAGACTGAAATCTTTTAAAAAAGTGAACGTTTAAATGCATACATCGAACGTATTATATTTTGTAAAACAAGTATTTTGTTCTTTGTATAATTTGTAAATAAATCTTTCTAATATGACATTTAACGTAGGAAGACAGTATACGCCTCGTACGAGGAACAGGAAATCGTTTTACAGTGCGATCAGAATTTCACATACATATTTTTATAATATGTTACACATAGGAAGCTAAAATGGAAAGAAAAAGAAAAAAAATATACATATATAGAATAAAAAACATACACAAACACAACCACATACACACACGCATATATACACAATACGCAGACACTGCGTAATTAATAAAAATAATAGGATAGGGACAGGATTATTTTACGATACCTTTAATCTCCGTATTTAAATGGCTCTTGGCTTCGACGGATAAAAATAATGCGCGAAAGTGCAATGTAAAAAATTCATCATATAATATTAAGAAAAAAAAAAAAAAAAAAAAAAAAAAAATAAGAAAAAAAAAAAAAAAAAAAAGAGGTAATGTTAATAAGAAATAGACATGAAGA